TTGCAATGTGCAGCTGGGTGTATCAAAATCGTATAACCTATAAATTGAATACACTAATTGTGAATTTATAATTCTTTATCGGCAAACTCACTTATGAATGCAAGACCCGACCATTGTAATAATTCTGACGTAGCGTAATTACTAAATGTTCACATTTTTGGAAAAATTCCATTGTAATGAGGCAGCTTACAACAATGGGTTTATCTTACCATATGGCCTGTAAAAATAACGCATTAATGACCTGTTAGATTACAACGAATTTGTTTTCTCACCGTCTTTATTACGTTATATTTTATACCAATTAAAAACCAAAATCGACTAACGATACTTTCTGCGATTTGACAGTTTTGCACCTTCAAATAAACATCCAATAAATGACAGCTGTCGCCATCTCGGAGTATATTTTCTAATCAAGTTGGCATTATTACGGAAGTAATTTGACTCATATTTTTCATATTAAACCATACGATTGTGAACTATGACGTACCGGCAATCTCTAATGACGAGGATATTTATTATTATGCTTTTATTCCAAGTACCCATGTACCTATTAAATTTCATTTAAATGCTTTTATAAATAAGAAATTTGGCACTGCGCATGCGCAAAACCAAATTTAGAAAATGGCGTTCGATTTGCTTAGGCGACTTACAGCATACGTCAGGGATAGAGTATCTAAAACAGTTTCCACGAAAGTGCTAATGGTTACATCATACTACGGTAAAATTCAAAGCATACTTTTCTATAACATACTCCGTCCTTCATACCGGCCCGACAGTTTACCAGTCCGTTAAAAAAATGGATAGTGTGAAAGAGCTCTCTGTTATGACGTTACTTGGTTCTTACTGGATCGTGTCTACAAAACTAGTACAGCTTACCTATTTAGCAATCATATCTCTCACACCTCTCTCCCTCGTGGAGACCTATGGAATTAGGGGATCTCATATAGTTGCTACATCACAGAAAATAGGTTTTGCCCTTAATCCCGTAAGGTCAGGCGGATGACACACAAAAACCTATTTGGGATGACATGAATTCCGTCAAATATGGATCTAAGAAAGATGCACGTTAATTTAGTTTTCAACTAAACTCTACGTTAAAACAATAAAAAGAATGAACCAGGTTACTGCTGGACAGTAAAACCGTGTTAGAACCGTGACGCTCAGTTTAGATTAGTAACTCTCCAAAAAGTAGTGCGGGGACCCCGATAGACGCATTTAATATTTACTCTTAAATGTCTTAGTTATAAGCATGCAGCAGTTCGTTTAGTATCTTTCCATTACCTAGATATACCGTTAAACAACAGAAATCATATAATGAGCTTCTTTATAGGCCATTTTGACGCAAAATAGCTATATATGTAGAAATATTGTGAATTATCCTCAGTATAAACCAAAAGGAATATAAAAACTGTGTGTTTCATCGTTTTTACTTTGTTGCTTTGATTACTTCTGTAAATTTTATCAATAGGTAATTGAATTGAAATGAATTAATAGACAGAACAGAAATCAAATACAGTGACCGTAAAGAATCAACTGAGAATTTGAAACTGCCAATTGCATTTGTTTCATAATTCCTACTGACAAGGAAATACCGAGCAGAAGAAAACGCAAAACGTAATTCTTCTTAGTGGCAGCCTACGTATACAAGTGCCGCTTTTAATTAAAAAAAATGCTTTATACCTACAAAATTCATGTACTTCTCTGGAATTAAATGGATTCCTGAAAGCTGTGATCGTTATTTAAAAAATAATGAGAAAGAAAAATCCTTTTTGTGTTTTTTAATGAGGAAATACGAGCGATTTGCCGTTTAGCTTTAATGTTCAGCGCATTCAAACTTGACGCAAATGCAACGACGCCTTCTGAAGTGTTTCACAAGAGAGATAGCGTAACAATTTTTACGGGCTTAATGTGTGTTGTGCTTTACGGGGCGCAGTATATTTCCATCAACAAAGGAAACGAAAAAATTAAGTTGAAATAAATGTAATTTGCGCTGCGTTTTAGAGTTACATATGATATGTAACTCTATAACATATGCATGGGAAATGTAGGTAACGAAAAAATTGTTTTTCCGGTTATTAATTATTCATCATGTTAGTAGAATTCACATCTTGTGGCTAATATTCGCAAGTATAATGTATAGTGACCTAAAATTTAGATATTGATCTGATCAATTCAAAAACATATTTCTGTACTGTACTAGTTTGAGCTGCAGCTCGTTGTACAAGATGTAACACAAAACATCGCTTCAGTTTTCCATCGGAAATCATTTCACATATCCTCAATCTCCAAAGCTCTCGGAAATAACGTAAAGATTTTTTAAGAAAAAGGCCAACATTTATCTTCGCGTGCGTTATTTATATCCACAAATTCATGTCAGGTAAATAAAATAATTATGCCTAATACTTTTTGAATTACCCCGGTTTTTTAAGCTATGAATGATTTCCGCTATATTCAAAAACAGGTTCCTGGCCTGTTGAAAATGTTTATGATTTTCCCAATTTATTTACATTGTATTACTGTGGTAAAACCCTGGGTAAAACACAAGTATGCACCACGTTATTTTTTGTACATGTAAGTCTGAGTCTCTTTTCACACCTTCCGAAAATATTTCCAAAGGTAGGTTATTAACTTTTATTTTTTTATTACATTCTTGACGCTATTGTGCGTTTCACAGTGACCTTTCAGTACAAGCTCTTATGGAGAACAGTAATGTCAGATATCTAAACGTCAGGATTTAAAAAACAGCAGTCGCCAACTTAAAACAGGCAACAGGGAGAGGGAGAGGGAGAGGGGGCGTTTCTGTATTTCGAAATATATTTGCTACGTGTATTGACAATTATTACTTCTCCGTTTTCAAGAGAAGTTATAACGGGCGATCAAAAATGAGTTGCTGTCGAGTCGCCTTTGGAAGTTCAAGTGAAATACGATTTTCCATGTTAACAAAATTTTCAAAGGCAACTCGACAGCAACTCATTTTTGATCGCATAGTAGCTAGCTAAAGCTGAATCCATGAACAGCTACGGTTGTGACCGACTCGATGCTCTTGTAGTTTACTAGCGATAAGGACATTTTTGCCCTCGTTTTTGACTTAGTAGTTTCCATTGCTTTTGTTGTTCAAATGCTTTCGTGGAAATGAGTCAATCCGTAGGTTTGTTGTCAGATGTGAAGGTTGATTGTAAATAGTAAAAATGAATTTGTTTATGTGTATTGTTATATGTGGACCATTCGTGTCTATTATTGTAAATAAATCCATTTTCATTTCTTGAGTGACATAGTTTTGTAAAACGCAAGTTCAGTACTGACGGAATATTCAGATTTGATTGCGGGGAGTCAGAAACGCTTTATGTAGATAAAGGCATCCCTATAATAAGATTAACTTTGCTTTCTCTGATTTAAATATTTCAAATGTGACTAGTCGGCGCTCAAATATAGAAACCCAACATTAAATATATACAGTGCATGTACACAATTTTACCGCAATTTTCAGAGACAAGAATATACAAGGTCAGTCACTAACGGAAACCAACGAGTACAAGGTGGAGGAGCAAGTTTGATGTGAGTTCAAAATAAACAAAAGGAACCATCCCAAGTTGAATTAGCTGCACTTAATAAAACTCCGGTGTGATTTCTCTTTACGATCGAGAGTAAATATATTTGGA